ATTATGCACAGGAAAAATTTCCCTTCTTCTGATCTTATCGTGCTTTATTGAATGTTTGAGTTCTTATTGTTATGAACATGTCTAACATCAATCCTTGTTATTTTCAGAGAATGAACTCTTAGAGAACTAAGGGTCTGAGGAGGAGAGGAGTAGCTACTAGGGGTAATCAGAATCCATCCCAGGCTCCAGGTAAGGGAGGGGCCATGCTAGTTAACCCAACTGGGTTGACTGATGCTGAGGTGAGGGCATCTCTAGCCTAGATGGTACAGGCCATCACGGTGTAGGTTCAGGCTATGACTGCCCAAGTCAACCAACGGGATGTTGAGAGGGAGAACCCACCGGTTCGCAACATGTTGACAGACTGCGAGACTTCATGAGGATGAATCCTCCTATATTCAAAGGGGTAAAGACATAAAATGATTCTCAAGATTTTGTAGATGAGGTGCATAAGATCCTGGTGGCTATGGGGGCCACTAATATTGAGAACGCTGAGCTGGATTCCTACCAGCTAAAAGATGTTGCACATACTTGGTGCAAGATGTGGCAAGATAGTCGTGTCTTAGGTGGAGTGTTAGTCACATGGGAGCCGTTCAAGACAGCATTTCAGGAGAGATTCTTCCCCAGAGAGTTGAGGGAGGCCAAGGTTGAGGATTCATCAACCTTAAAAAAGTCTATGATGGTCAGGGAGTATTCCCTTAAGTTTGTTAAGCTATCAAGGTATGTTCTTTTTCTTAGTATTTAATAGCAAGAATGAGGGGAGTACTTAGTTTTTTTTGAATTATCTAGGTATGCTACTTTGCTGGTTTCAAATAGCACGGATGAGATGAGCAGGTTCTTCATGGGAATCAATGGAGACCTGGAGGAGGAGTGTCGGTTTGCGATGTTCCATGATAATATGGAGCTTTCCAGGTTAGTGGTGCATGTCCAACATGTAGAGGACAACCGCAGGAGGAGAGGTGTTCGTGATGTTAGGAGGAATAGTCCTCATGATCAGGTAGGTCCAAACCATGGAAACAACAGAAACAATTTTGGTGTCCGTGAGCAGCCCAAGTTGAAGAAGGGGCAACAGAGTTCTGGGAATTCTAACCCTCAGAGGAGTACAACACTTACAGGAGGCAGACCTGAATCCAAAGGGGGCAATGGAGTTGAGATGCAGCGTCATAAGAAGAAATGTGCTAAGTGAGGCCAAACTCACTGTGGAGAGTGCAGACAGGGCATTAATGCCTGTTACGATTGTGGTAAAAGCGGACACATGGTCAGACACTGTCCACATAACAAAAGTCAGGTTGGATGTAATGCTCGGCCTAGGCCTAACCCTCAGAGTGCATCAGCAGCCGAACCTCCCAAGAGGAACATATTCTATACCCTGAAGGGCAGGGAGGAGCAGGAGAAGCCCCCTGATGTGGTCACAGGTATGCTGCAAGTATTCTCAACTTCTATATATGCCCTACTTGATCAAGGGTCTACGCTTTCCTTTGTGACTGCTCTACTTTCCCTTGCCTTTGAAATACTACCTGAAATTCTACATGATCCTATAATGCTTAGTAAGCCTTTAGGAGAAAATGTAAGAACTGATAGGGTATACAAGGATTGCCCAATAGTTGTGAGTAGTAAGACTATGTGTGCAAAATTGATTGAGTTACCCATGCATGATTTTGATATTATTCTTGGCATGGACTGACTTCACAGTTGTTCTGCTTTCTTGGACAGTCGTAGTGGAGTGTTGAGATTTCACTTCCTTGATGAAGAAGAGTTAGTCTGGTAGGGGTACAATTCGATTCATCCTAATCCCTTGATTTCAAATCTTAAGGCCAATAAAATAATGTCCAAGGGGTTACTATGTCATCTTGTGAGTGTTAATGATTTAAATCATTACATTCCTTCCATACACTCAGTGCCTGTGGTGAATGAGTTCCTAGATGTGTTTCCTGAAGATTTACCCGGAGTCCCTCTCCTTTGAAAGATTTACTTTGGTATTGACTGAGAACCCGATACTAAACAAATCTTGATTCCTCCATATAAAATTGCTCCAGCAAAACTCAAAGATTTAAAGCTTCAGTTAAAAGATATCACTAATAAGGGTTTCATTAAATCGAGAATATCCGAGTGGGGCGCTCCAGTGTTGTTTGTAAAGAAGAAAGATAGGACCCTTAGAATGTGTATCGATTATAGGCATCTCAAAAAGTTATTATAAAGAATAAGTATCTTATTCCTAAAATAGATGATTTGTTCGATCAACTCCAGGGGTCGAGTTTCTTCTCTAAGATTGATCTTCGTTCAGGGTATCATCACCTTACGGTTAGGGATGCAGATGTTCCAAAGACAACCTTTTGTACCCCTGATGGTCATTATAAGTTCTTGGTTATGTCATTTGGTCTCACGAATGCACCTGTTGCATTTATGGATCTCAGGAACAGAGTTTTCCCTGAATACCTTGACTCCTTTGTCATAGTATTCATTGATGACATTCTCATCTACTCTAAGACCAAGGAAGAGCATGAACAGTATTTGAGACTAACCTTGCAGCTACTTAGACAACATCAGTTGTATGCCAAATTTAGCAAGTGTGAATTCAAGTTGTGATTAGTGACCTTTCTGGGTCATGTTGTGTCCGATCAAGGTGTAGATGTAGACCCCAGGAAGACTGAAGCTGTTATAAACTAGCCAAAGACTCTTATTCCCACTGACATTCGTAGCTTTTTGGGATTGGCTGGTTACTATCGCAAGTGTGTGGAGGGCTTTGCATTCATTGCTGCTGCATTAACAGCTCTTACTAAGAAGAAAGCAAAGTTTTAATTGACGGAGACTTGTGAGAAGAGTTTCCAGGAGCTTAAGGACAAACTCACTTCAGCCCTGGTGTTACTCTACCTAAGTGTGGTGAGAATTACACGGTTTATTGTGATGCTTCTAGGGTTGGTTTGGGTTGTGTTCTTATGCAGGCTGTAAGGTGATAGCCTATGCTTCCAGACAGCTCAAGGTTCATGAGAAGAATTATCCCACTCATGACCTGGAGTTGGGAGCTGTGGTGTTTGCACTGAAGCTGTGGAGGTATTATCTGTATGGAGTACACGTGGATGTGTTCACAAACCATAAGAGTCTCAAATATGTGTTCACATAGAGGGAGTCGAACCTACATCAGCGCAGATGGTTGGAGCTATTAAAGGATTATGACATGAATGTGCACTACCATCCAGGTAAGGCTAATGTTGTGGCTAATTCTTTGAACAGGATGAGCATGGAAAGTACAGCCCACATTGAGGACGAGAAGAATGAGTTGGCAAAGGAGGTACACAGACTGGCCAGACTAGGTATGTGGTTGGTTGGCTCTACTAGTGGGGGTGTTTCAGTTCACCCTAGTTCTGAATCATCCTTGATAGTTAAAGTCAAGAACGGTCAACATCTTGATCCTGTGTTAATGGAGCTGACGGAATCAGTGTTGTTAAAAATGAATAAGTATTCTGCTTTGGGAGATAATGGCATACATAGATACCAGGACAGGCTGTGTGTACCAGATGTGGATGATTTAAGGACCAGGATTGTGGCAGACCCATGGTTCCAGATATTCCATACATCCAGGTTCCACCAAAATGTATCATGATCTTAAGCAGATTTATTGGTGGGAAGGCATGAAGGACATTGCAGAATATGTGGCTAAGTGTCCTAATTATCAGCAGGTTGAGGCAGAACATCTTAACCCTGGTGGTTTGACTCAGCTTATTGAGGTTCCGACTTAGAAGTGGGAGGCCATTAATATGGACTTCGTGGAATGTATTCCGAGGAATAGGAGGCATCATGACTTCATATTGGTTATTGTGGACAGATTAACTAAGTCTGCCTACTTTATCCCTATAAAGTCTACTTACAGAGCCGAGGATAATGCGAGACTCTACATTGATAATATTGTGAGATGGCATGGGATTCCTTTATCTATCATTTTAGATAGAGGAGCTTAGTTTATTTCACATTTCTGGAGATCTTTCCAAAAAAGCTTGGGCACACCAGTAAAACATAGCACTGCCTTACATCCTCAGTTAGATGGGCAGGCAGAGCGCACCATTGTGACATTGGAGGATATGTTGAGAGCGTGTGTGATTGACTTCAGAGATAATTGGGATGACCATCTGCCTTTGATAGAGTTCTCATATAACAATAGCTATCACTCAAGCATTGGGATGGCACCGTTTAATTGTATTGTAGGAGGTGTATATCTACATTTGGGTGGTTCGAGGTTGGAGAGTCAACCATTTTGGGTGCATAGATCATTGATGAGGCCTTGGAGAAAGATAGAGTGATTAGGGACAGGTTGACTACTGGTTGCAGGCGACAGAAATCATATGCAAACAACAGAAAGCGTCCCTTAGAATTTTATGTTGGTGACAAGGTTTACTTGAAGATATTTTCTATGAAAGGGGTGATGAGATTTGGTAGAAAAGGGAAGCTGAGTCCGAGGTATGTGGGGCCATATGAGATCCTACAGCGTGTGGGTGAGGTGGCCTATGAGTTAGCATTGCCTGCGGAGCTAGATTCTGTTCATCTAGCCTTTTATGACTATATGTTGAAGAGGTGCCTAGTTGATCCAGCATCAATCCTACCTGTTGAAGGTTTGGGGGTTGGTAAAGACTTGTCCTATGAGGAGGTACCTGTTGAGATCTTAGACAGACAGGTCAAGCGGCTGAGGAACAAGGAGATTTCCACAGTGAAGGTATTGTGGAGAAATCATCTTGTTGAGGGTGCTATGTGGGAGGCTGAGGCCGACACGAGATCCGTCTATCCTCATCTTTTCAGCTCTTGAGGTTAGACTTCCCACTTTTAAGACTATGTTTCCTGACCTCTTCGTATTTTGTTGCTATAGGTTGACTGTGCATAGCGATTATGTTATGATCTTATTGGCATTATGATGTGTAATGGTAGTGTCATTCGGGGATGAATGTTCCTCTAATGGTGGGGGGGGATAATGTAACAATCCAAAAAAAAAACGAATAGGATAAATACTTAAGGTGATTTATCTATAAATTAAAACTATTCGTTAAGGGTAGAATGGTCCTTTCATGTATCAATTAAAATAAATCAGACTTTTAGTTATTAATTATTAATTATTAATTATTAAATTATATTGACTAAGTCTTGCCAACTATCCTAGTTTTAAGGGGGCCACTATCTCACACAAACTCTCTCACACACTTAAACCTCTCTCTCTCTCTCATCAATTTTTATTTCTTTGCTCCAAAAACAAAAAAGAGAATATTAGAAAACAATCAAAAGTTCCCTACACTCAAAAAACATACAAAAAAATATATACAAGCAAGCAAGCTAACTTAAGAAACGAAAACTTTGCATCATCATCTCGACAAGTTTGTGTTGAAGGTTTTTGGGAGGTCCTGGGAAGCACTTGGAAGGTGTGGAAGGATATAACAAGGTATGGGTTTTCTCTCTTGGAATCCTTTCTCCAAGAGAAATTTCTTTCTACAAAATTCAACGTATGAAACTAGGGGTGTTCCCTTTATTGTTGAAATCCTTATCCCTAGTCTCGTTCTGATTTCAATATAAATTAGTTTAGAAATCATGTAGTTGGTAAGGTTACTCGTAGCTAAGTATGACATATGATTTTCCTTATGGTTTTATCTTTGAAAATAGTAAGCATGTTCAATGATGTCAACCGAAAATGATATGGTGCAATGTGTAAAATGTTTGTTGTTGTTCTCCATTTCAAGTCTTAAAATGGCTTGTTTGATTATTGGAATTATTGTGCATAAGGTCTGTAAATTGTGGTGTTAAGTGAAGTGTAAGGTGGGTGATCTTAAGTGGAAAATTTTAATCTAAAACAACAATGAATCTACACCTAAGAATGTGTTAAACTAATTGTGAAAGTACCTCAAAACGAATGTATGGATGTAGTTAGATAAAGGCTAGAAAATTTAATAAAATTTCCAGCATTTGGTGATGGAATTTTTGGCCAGAATACTTGGTTGAGAGGTTTAAAAATATATTTAAAACATGTGGGGTTAGTGGGGATTAAACCCAAGGACTCAGTACATAAAAGCTTAAAAAGATAAATAAATGAGAGGTGTGTGATTTGAACCCTCAACCTCTCGGCCAAACAAGAGAGTAAAGAGAAATTTTTTACAAAAAATAATAACGAGAGGAGTGGAATTCGAACCCACCACCTCTTGGCAAAATGAGAAGGTAAGGAGAAAAAGTAAATTAAACTAAGATGAGGCTGTGGGGGTTCGAACCCACAACCTCTTGAATGAATGAGAGAGTTAGGAGAAAAATAAAGGAGAAAATAAATGTGGAGAGTGGAGATTGAATCCACAATCCTTTGGATAGGTGACAAAGTTAAGATATAAATTAAAAGAAAAATAATGAGCTTGTGGGGGATTGAACCCAACAACCTCCTTGCCTTAAAATGAAAAAGGGGAGGAGATCAAGAAAGAAATATTATGGGATTGATGGGAATCGAACTAGGGTGTCCAAATCTTAAAAATGCAATTATCTAGTTTAAACTAAGATTAAGTATTGTTCAAGGGATTCAAAATCAGGTTCCCTTGCCCAATTCCGTATTGACACATAAGTCATACGTAAACAAATATTTAATGAATGTTGTCTCGAAATATCAAAATGAATATGATGGCATACACACAGGATACATAAGTCTTTTACAACATAATCTTAGGAAGATATGAGTCAATAAACTATGAATGAAGCCTCATGGATTGTACGTATAGACCCATAAGTCTAGTATATGATTAAAAATAAGTGAATCTAAGATGTATGTGATGAAATTGATGAACCATAGAATGTTTAAGTGCGAGCGTAAGATACACTAAATGGACAAGTGCATTGTCATATGACGAAATGAACAATGAAATGATGAAATGAACAATGAAGTCATGAAACCCTAGAAATGTTAAGTAAGAGTGTGAAACACACTAAATGGCCAAGTGTATTGGCATATGATAAAATGAACATTCACGTAAAAAGGGGTGAGTAATTATGAAGAGAAAATCGGCTAATGTTAATGAATGTGGTGACAACATGATATGAGGCTAATGTAAAAGATGAGAGAAATCTCAAATGAGCCTAAGTAAATGTTACTAAAACGTACTCACCTATGAGAGTATAATGTTAATGAAGAGACCAGTCTCTATGAATACTCTAATGGAAGTATTGAGATTAACACACTTAATACTATGATGAGATAAGAAATCATCTATTGAGCTATGATGTCCTCATACTTGAAGCCAACTTCCATGATGTATGAGTTTGAATGAACTGGAACTTTATACTAAGAACCGATAGGCTATCTATGAACGGTGATGCCTTCGTTCGGGAAGGGAGAAGGTTCGTGTAACTCTCATGAGATGAGAGTGTCCGACTTGCCGGGTATGGGTCTCCATACATCTCCTAGTCTTTGAACCTATACTGCCAATATAGGGATCTGGCGGGGTTAAATTCCCATATACACTAGCATGTTATTGAGTCACTTTGGCCGGTGATTTTAGCTCTTTACGGTGTGGGGGAGACACTGGATTTCATGATTCTCACATGATCTATGTCAATTAAAGTTAAAATTCCCAATGAATGAAGGAGGCCAACCTCAAATAACGCACATAATGAAATGAATGATACCAAAGGTGTTAGGATAGGATAATCAAACAGTGAGTTAGATTCAAGTAATGACATTAGGTCATTCTTGGTCATTGCACCACTAACCCGATGAAAATCTTAAACTACATCCTAGGTATAGCTGGTGTTTACACTGGCCCATGAATGAAATGAAATGCAGTACGTATGAATGAACAAAGCACTCTGTGTTTGCTAAGGCATACTCCCTAGTTGAGGTCCCATATGTTGATCCCTCATTTCTGATAAGTCTTAATGTTAAGTCCATGATTTTAAGGTCTCATGGCATATGAATGAATGATATGAAAGATGTTATGTTCTATATGTGATATGATATGTCAAATATGTTATATGCTGTTTGCAAAATGATGAGTTTGATGATGCATGTGACACTCATGGCATGACTTTCCAAGTCAAAATTTGGCAGGTCCATTGTCTAATCCAAATTTGGAAAGTTCACTAACTTTCCTAATCTCAATTTGGCAAGTCCACTGTGACTTTCCATAATCATGTTGTTAGGAAAGAGCTATTTTTTATCATGCATGTCGTTGGTGTGTTCCTTCATATACTCATACTTAGTACAACTGTATACTAATCCCATACAACTCTATATTTTTAGGAGCAGGCACAGGTAGACGTTAGAGTTTACAGGTTGACGTTGCAGCTATCCGGACGTGGAACTTTCATCCAGACTTGGTAGGCCCTCATGATTTCGAGGATGTCTACCGTTATTATCTAGATTAAATGTAGGCTTTAGCTAGTGGAGCATGTTCGACTTGTGTTTCTTTCAACTTTCATTTCATACTTTGTATTGGTGCCGTTTTGGCAAAAATATGTTTAAGGCAATTATGAACTGTTTCGTTCGTTTGATTGTCACTATATTAGATGGTTGATTTGTGAACGCCTGTGATGTTAAGTTTAAAATGTTTAGCATGAAGTAAGAAGACAAAAAGTTCAAAATTTTCGCTAAAATTAACCTAGATGAAGTAAGAATGACGTGTGTAGGCTTGTTTGCGACCTCTGAGAGGTCAACAACACCGGTCTCATCTGGGGTTTAGATACCGAACGTGACACTCCGACCTGACCCTTTTTTCTGTTCAACAAAAAGACGTCAAAAGCGTTAACAACGACAACAATTATTCACACCTCACGCGAGACTACGTAAGGAAGAGTTCATGAAAGAAGCCGTGACACGCGAAGCAGTGCCAAACGTCATCCGTCTACAAGCATCAATTGACGCAAATTGATGTTTCAACGTTTCTTTCTTCAGCCCCGTGTTGCCTTCCTACAACGGTTTTGGTTGTGGCAGACTGGAGGTTTGTCTTTTGCAGCGGCATCTCGTCCTTGCTTGCCTCGAGATCGAGAAACATCAGGAAGCTAGGACACATAGATAGATCTCAACCGTATATTCTACTTTTCATCTTCCGGAAATGGTTTGAAGATTTCAGGAAAAGGCGTTTAGCCTAAATGGTGAATGTTTTAGGGGTTTTGAATTTCAAATTGAGACTTCCCTCATATGATTTTTTGATGTCCCCCCCCCCTCATTTCTGAACCCTAAATCCCTCCTATATATATATTCCGTATCCATCACAGAAGATGGGGCTTTTTGTTTGGACGATTTTGTGAAAGAGAAATAGGAAAAACAGTAAGACTTTTGGTTTGAAAATTAGTGTGAGAAAAGGTTGAAAACTTGTATTGATTTTATTCTGGTTGGAAACTTTTTTTTTAGTAAAACATAAAGTTATTAGGAAATCGTAGTGATACATTCGGAAATACATCTCTGAATAAGAGAACCTCTCGGTTTTTTGCCTGGTTCCCTTTGGTTGTTGTACGTATCTGGTGTTTGGCGTGGTCAAAGTGTTGCTCTGCACGATCCAGCCCCTGTTGCGCTGCATCCTAAAAGGTAAACGACTCTTGCTTTTCTTTTGCTCTTCTTCTTCGTATCTATTTTGACAAGTGTTAAATCGTAAAATATTTGTTGTTGGTTCCCAGATTAGTCTATATGGCTGGCTTTGAGTTTAAGTTGCTCCCGTCGTCTTATTTCTCTCAGAAACTGGCCATATATGTTTCAATTTTGCTGGCCATATTTGTTTCATTTTTGAGTTTATGTTTCTTCCTTAGCTTCTTGGCCGATGTGCTCATTCTTATTTTGGTTTACTTCTTCGTTAATCGCATTTGATACTATCCTGTTTATATTCCATTGATAATATCCTGTTTATATATGTATGTATATATATATATATTTTTTTTTTTATTATTATTATTTTTTTTATTTTTTTTTATTTTCGAGTGTAGATCAACAATCTTGCTCAGATCGGCAGAGTCTACTTTGTTGTGATTGATTTTTCCCTCTCGGACTTTTTCTAACATGTTTCCTGTGGTTTAGATGTGGTTTAGGCTTGGTTCTAAGGTTTTTCCCCTCTAGAATAAATGGCTGGCGTTTGTGTTTTTTTCCATCTTGTTCGCTGAAGGAGTTTATGTTAATCACAGTACATACAATCCCTTTCTATTCACGCCTGGAAATCACGTGAGTACCCTTTTAAATTTTAATAATGTTATTCTGTTGGTGTGCTTACGAATATGTATTTTCTGTTGGGAGGTCGTCTTTGATGTTGTGTATCAACTCGTCTTATATACTTTCTTTGCAACTATATATTTACATTACTGCTCGATAGGCCATATTTTAATTAAATTACGTCTCCCTGTTTGTCTAAGTCATGTAAAATATGCTCATATCTGCAAATTGTATCGGTACATTTGGGTTGTTTGTTTTATCTGCGAAGTTTGAGATTTTTTTTTGTTGAAATATGTCTTTGATAGCACCCAAAGTAGGACAACTTTGTCGTTAATCCTTTCTAGGTAAGATGGGCTAATCTATCAAATTTACAGTGACTTAGAGTTGCCATTTACGACTTTTATTTCAGGGTACATACAGTAGTTCATTGATTAGTTATTTTCTCATAGAGCTTGTATTAAATAATGTTGTTATTATATTTGATGTGGATCCCGCTTTGTTTGGTTGATGCTTAAGTGCATGGTTATACGTGAGCATCAATAATTCTTTTTAGCTTACCAGATTGTTTTAATGTTGTAATTTTTCATGTATGTTTTTTTAAGAAAATTATTTTAGCACTTTGATAGCAAAGTTGACAAACTTAGCATTTGGTTTGAGTGTTAATAACTTAGTGTTCTTCGGTAATTTGGGTATCATACTAAGATGGTGAATCATATCATTTTATAATTTTTGCCTCTGTTTGGTTGCATGTGAATATGTCCGAGCTTTTCATGGACTCCAATCTTTCTCTTGCATTTTGGAAGAGACATAAAGGCTCAAAAACCTTTTTCTCCGTGTCAACTAGCAACAAAATCGATGAACAGGTCCAGAAATGAAGGTGGAAAGTGAAAGAGTTGAAGAAATTGGACCAAAGAGTCCAAAGTTATTTTGGAGTGTTGTATTTTGATAACTTTGGGACTAAGATAGAAATCGGATTTGGACCCGACTCTCTCTCTCTCTCCCTTTTACTTTATCGCTTATTTATTTGTTGTGAATTGTTGTTTATTCTTAGGGTTAAAGAATACATAATACCTTCACGATGTCACTTTATTTTAACAACCTAATCAAATCAAGTAAATAACTTAAAATAAATTTTACAAATTAAAATTCACTTACATAGTAAAATTAGTACTTCATTTTCAAACAATTCTAAATAATCATTATCTCAAATACTTCAGTTAAAATTCCTAGCCATATCAGTTAGTTGTCGGATAATCATGATTTAGTCAATATTTTAGGTGTCGTTAAAGCTTCCTAAAATATAAATATGAATCTCTGAACCCGCATTTAATGTTTTCAAATTGATTTTCAGTTTAATCTTTATTGAAAGCTAAGTTTTCTTGATTTATCTTCAAAATTAAGTGGCGACTCTCAAAACGAAAAAGGCCAAAATTTTTTTATAAAATACTTCCTTCCAAGTAAAACACATTCCACCATTTTTCACCATTTTTCGACTTATAAAAGCTAGTCAAATAGGCTAAGGCCGCTAGTACCTCATAGAACTAGCATCCAGACATCATGGAAGTCTTGGATGTTTTAGTTTCTGGACTTCCTAAATGACTTATATTAATTAACATGGACCGTGAAACAATGTCTAAACCTTATGACCCTTACGTTAGGCTCTAGAACACGTCTTGGATTTTTTGAGTGTTACATTATCCCCCCCCCCACTCCCTTAGGAACATTCATCCCTGAATGACACTTAAAATCTTTTAAAGGAAGAAATAGACTCAAGCATCCCAAGCAACAAAAATGCATAACAACATCAATCATATCATTTACACAAGGCAATTCAAAACTTCAATTACCATACATAAGGCTCATCATTCCATTATGAGGAATATGCTTCCCACAACAACTAGAGATCAACATAGCATTTATGAGTCAATTATGTCAAATTTCAACTTACCAACATGATACATATCATTTCATTAAGACTCACGATATCAAAATGCACAACATAACTCAAACAAGCAAAATTGCAAATAATTAGCATACTTCACTGTAAGTCACTGTAACATTATCAAAATTCACATTTTTGCAAAACTTCCCAAAAATCAAGAAACTTCAATTTTCAGTCATTATTTTAATCATTAGTAAGAACAATTAACCTTAATTATCAAATAGATGAGGGTAACACGACTTCAAGTCGGCCTCGACCTCCCATGTTGCATCCTCAACTAGATATTTCTTCCATAACACCTTTACGGAAGCTACCTCTTTGTTCCTTAACATCTTTACTGGACTATCAAGGATTTGTATCGGAACTTCCTCATAAGAGAGGTTATCCTTCACACCAAGACCCTCAACAGGAAGAATAGACTCGAGATCACCGATACATTTCTTAAGCATAGAAACTTGGAAAACCAGATGAACCAAAGTCAATTCATTAGGTAGTTTTAATTCATAGGAAACTTTTATTATGCTTAAATTAGACCTCCCTAAAGAATTATAAGTAGTTGTATCAAGTAAAGAACCCAACTATTAGGTTGGGGTCGATCATACGAGGAAAATGGTTTAGACTTAACTTCAATGTACGATTACTTTGATTTAGTCAAGTTCTTTTTGAAAATAGATAATTAAAGGGGGGGGGGTTGTGAAGAAAAATTCTTTTACTATTTCTAAGTAAAACAAGCAACAAGAGTAAAGCTTTGATTTTTATCAAATTATGAGAGAAATTAGGGTATTAGTGTTTGCTATAGGTTCATAATGTCGTATTCCTAACAATAAAAATTCTTCTCCACTGTTTTACATGCAAAGTGATAAGTTATGTATCTATAAATCCTTGGTTCAGCATTTAGAGAACCACATACCTTGGTCTGGCTACGTGTGTCTAAGCTTCTAATCCTTACCTTTATTAAGTATCATATTCGATGTATGAATTGGTTATTACTTCTAACCAATCGAGACTATCCTATAAGATAGCATCCCACTAAATCTATGTTGATAATTCTTTTCCTGTCAACTATCTTCTTGGTCCGGTAAGTAGTAATAAGGCGAATTCTAACGCGTGAACTCATTAAAAAGACTTCTAAGCAAAATAATTATCAATGCATGCAATAATTTATTTGAGAATTGTTATTAAGCTAGGTTTAATATGTTAATCACTTATGGTTCCCACAACCCTAGTTGTGGATTTAGTTACCCATACATATAGGAACTCAATTCATCGTTGTTAAACAATAAAACATGAACTTACTTCGACAACTTGAAAAATATCTAGAAATTCAACTTGAAATAACAAGAAATCACTTGAAAACCAAATACAAAATTTGAATTAATGCTAAAATTGCAAAACCCTATCTCCAAACACAAACTACGAACAAAAGTAATAGAATCCAACCCCAATAATGAGGTTATTACATCATATTTATAAAAACATAGTCCTAAACTAAAAGGAATTAAAATAAGGAAAGTTGTCGAAAAAATGGGGTTGTAATCGACAACCCTCACAGACGGTCTTAGCATCTTTTTTTCATCCTTCAGCTGACATCTTCTATGAATCAATCGACAGACCAATATCACGGCCCGTTGATGCGTCTACGGTTTTTCGATGCCTTCCGTCGTTTCATAGTTAGATTTTCATCAACTTCGGGTACAGGGTCTATCTCTGAACTTAACGCCGATTCAATAGTCTGATCTTTCCGTACCCTCACACTTGGTCAAATTCCTGAGTTTCTCTAGATGCATGAATTATCTGTCGACGATCACATTTTGGGTTACCTGAGTTTCTCTAGATGGCCTTCGTGGGTTACCTGTCTACTAAATCTCAGTTGCCTTCTGCATTTTGGGTTTGGTCACCTTATTGTAACAAAGATAAAAACATGTTAAAACTACTACAAAAAGGCTCTAGACACACACCAATCTTACGGAAAAAACATTGAGAGTACCGTGAAAATACGATACATCAACCTTACCAACCATTTGCAAGATTTTATAGGGACCCACATAACGAGGACTCACTTCCCTTTCATGCCAAATCTAACCACCCATATCATACGCGAAATTTTCAATTACTCTTTATCACCTTCCTTTAACTCTAAGTCCATTCTCCTATGATCGGCATAAGACTTTTGATGACTATAGGCCATTTGCAACCGGTTCTTTATAATATAAAGTTTCTCCAAAGTATTATAAATCAAATTGGGACCAAGAAGCAAAGGATCATCCATTTTAAACCATCCAATAGGAGACCTACACCTTCTACCATACAATCTTCATAAGGAGCCATGAATATGGATGAATGGAAACTATTATTGTAAGCAAATTCCACCAAAGGCAAATGCTTATCCCAATTTCCCTTGAAATCAATAATACAAGCTCTAAGCATATCTAAAGGGTTTGAATAGTACGTTCGGTTTGACCATCCGTTTGGGGATGAAAAGCGGTGCTTAGCTTCACTTTAGTACCCAATCCCTCTTGAAATGACCTCCAAAACATAGATGTGAATTGTGGACCCCAATCCAATATGATGGAAAACAGAATACAATGGTGACACACAATCTCATATGTGAAGATCCTTGCATAATCTTCCGCTAAATAAGTACACTTCACGGGAATGAAATGAGTGGATTTTATCAACCAATCAAGAATTACCCATATAGATTCATATTACTTTTTTGTCCGAGGCAAACTACCACCAAATCCATATTGATGTCTTCCTACTTCCAAGTAGGAACTTGGATTTCATTAAGTAAACCACCCAGCTATTGGTGTTCGGCTTTCACTTGTTGGCAATATGGACACTTAGCTAAAAATTCCGTTGTGTCATTTTTGAAACCTTCCCACCAACACATTTCCCTAAATCATGGTACAGCTTTGTCAAACCCGGGTGAATAGAATAACCAGACCCTTGAGCTTCCTCAAGAATTCGATTCCTCAAATCATATACATTAGGAACAGAGAACCTTCCTTGATACCTCAAGACACCATCCCCCTAAGGATAATGACTCATTAAGATTGCTAAGAACCGATTCTTTCAACTCCATCAATGCTTGATCTAGTTTTTTTTGGGCTTCACCTCAACTACCAAAGATGACTCGGTAATGATGGACTATGAAACCACCATTCAGAGAATCTATTGAGCTCACACCCAATCTAGGCAATTTATTAATACTTTTCACTAGGTTATTCTTGTCTACTATACATGAGGCACACTACCCATGGATAAATGACTTAGAGCATTCGCAACCATATTTGTCTTTTCGGAGTGATAGAGAACACTCATGTCGTAATCCTTCAACAATTCCAACCACCTTATTTGCCGAAGATTAACTCCTTTTGAGTAACTACATATTGGAGACTCTTATGGTCGGTATACACATCCACATAAACACCATATAAGTGATGCCTCTGTATTTTAAAGGCAAATACTGCGGCCGCTAATTCAAGACCATGAGTTGGATATTCTCTCCCATGCACCTTAAGTTGTCTAGAAGCGTAAACTACCATATTCCCATGTTGCATAAGCACACATCCTAAGCCCACATAGGATGCATCACAATATACAACGAAGCCCTTTGTACCCTCCGGGTGAAGTCAACAACGCAGCGGAAGTAAATCTATGTTTCAAGATTTTGAAGATTCTCTCACATGCCTCCGACCACTCAAGTTTCTTACTCTTTTGGGTCAAAGTATTCAAGGGGGATGCAATAGACGCAAAACCATCCATAAATATCCAGTAATACCCACTAGACCCAAGAAACTCCTAATGTTGGTTGGAGTCAATGGTCTAGGCCAATTTTTCACTGCCTCGATTTTCCTTGGATTAATATCAACTCTCTTACTAGAGATGAAGTGACAAATAAACGCCATCGACCTCAACCAGAACATAAACTTTCTCAACTTGGAAAATAATTGGTTTCCTTAAGTACTTGCAACACCATCCTCAAATGGTTCATGTGATTACCCTCATTTTTTGAATATTCCAAGATGTCGTCAATGAAGAAAATGATAAATGCGTCTAGGGAACTTTGAAACACCCTATTTATGAGATCTATAAATGCTGATAGAGGATTTGTGAGACCAAAGGACATTACTATGAACTCATAGTGACCATATCTAGTCTAAAATGTCATATTTTGTATATCCACACCTTTTACCCTAAGGTGGTGATACCCCGATCTCAATTCAATCTAATAAATGTAGTTTACCCTTTGGAGTTGATCAAACAAGTCATCAATCTGGGGGAGATGATACCTGTTCTTACTAGTGAATTTATTGAGTTGGAAGTAATCAATGCACATCTTAAGGGACCCATCATTCTTCTTCACAAATAATACCGAAGAACCCCATGGAGAAATACTAGGTCTAATGAAGCTTTTGTCTAGTAAATATTTGACAGAAATACTAGGTCTAATGAAGCTTTTTTCTAGTAAATATTTGACAGAAATACAAGGTCTAATGAAGCTTTTGTCTAGTAAATATTTGAGTTGAGCCTTCAACTCTTTGAATTCAGTTAGATCATCCAATAAGGAGGAATTGAAATGAAATTTGCATCCGGTAAAAATTCGATATCAAAATTAAGTTTTTTTAGGGAGGAATACCGGGAAAATCATTAGGAAAGACCTCAGAAAATTCCCTCACTACGTGGACCAGCTTAATGTGAGGAATTTCAGAGTCTAAATCTTAGACTCTTACTGTATGGGCTAAACACCCTTTAGAGATCATTTTACAAGCTTTCAAACAAGATATGATACGACCTTTCGGATTAGAATTTCCCCCCTTCCACTCTAAAACGGGCTCATTTTGAAAGTAAAACTTCACCACCCTCGTTCTACAATCTATAGAGGGCAAAGAAAGAATGCTACCAATCCATACTCAAAATGACATCAAAATCAAGCATATAAAGTTCACTAGATTAATATAAGAAACTTTATTAGGAAATATTAAAGGACAATTTCTATACACCCTTTTTGCAACAACTGACTCACCCACTGGGGTAGACACTATAAAATGTTCATGCAATATATCGGGCAAAATGTCAAGCTTGTTAGCTACTAAAGGAGTAAAAAATAATAAGATAGAACCGGGATAAAGTAGGACATATACATCAATAGAGAAGACTTTCATGTCACCACGTTGGGAGAAGTCTCTTGCTCACCCTTAGAGCGTAGAGCATAAAAATAATTTTTCTTTGGAGCTTCATTCGAACCACTTGGTTGAGCTTGACCACTACCCTTTTCTTAAACCTTCACATTAGGGTAAACCCTAACCATGTGGACACTCTTGCCACAACCAAATCAAATTCCCATTCGAACTACGCATTTACGAAGATGACCCTTTCCACACTTTGCACAAGTAGGCTTCTTGTTCAGTGAACTATTATCTCTTCCATTTTTAGTCTAAGGGTTTGATACCTTATCATCCCTAACCTTAGGGAACTTGATTTGAAACCCTCTTCTTAAACCTAGGATTGTATTGAATCTCAAGCCTTCCCTTTGAAGAATCACATTTAAAAGATCTCACCCTCTTGGCATCCCTACTCTTCTTCTTAGCCCTTTCCTCCTCCACTTGTTGAAAATGAACCATGAGAAGAGAAATGTTCATAGTGTCATGTAACATAGCCGAATGACAATAATCTTGCAAGTCTTCTGACACTCCCGTCACAAAGCGGTTCATTTCATCTCTATGGTCGGAAACCAAATAAGGAGCATATTTTCACAATTTTGTGAATTTCAAGGAGTATTCAATCTCATTCATACCTCTTTGACGAAGGTTGATAAACTCCACCACATTAGCTTAACTCTTCTCCATGGGAAAGAATCTATCAAGAAAAGCCTTCTTGAACACTTCCCAAGTCACCGGTCCACCCCTTAACAACCTATTATCCCTCCATTGGACATACCAAGTTTGGGTCAGATCTTTGAGCTAGAAGTGGCTAACTCAGCCTTCTCACTAGTAACTAGACCCGTAGCATGAGGATCTTATAGATTTCGTCAATGAACTCTTGGGGGTATTCTTCAACCTTGAACCAACAGAAAGTAGGGGAATTCATCCTATTGAAGACCCTTAGTTGGGAGGCTAGGGCAGCAACTTGTTGGTTTGCTCAGGGTACTACCTCCCGATTAGCTTGGGCCAACATATTTAGCTTTAGTAGTGGCGACTTATGATTGGGTAGTAATGGCTTGGGACATTTGGAAAAGATTAGCCCGGATGGAACCATCCGTCAAACGAGGATCTACCAAAGCTTGGTCATCATTCATATCTTCGTCAAGAGGAGGGACTTGATCACCACAGGGAGGATCTCCCACATTGGAAATCTCTGCATCTAGTCTTCGTGCCGCATTACTTCGAGTATTCATTTCCTATAATCATAATAAGAGTATTAGATGCAAAAACACATAGAGCTAAACTCTAGAGGCACGATATTGAACTTCCAAGAAAGTGAGAGTTCCCTAAGCATCACATAGATTCCTATTCATAAATGTGGTGCACTTCACAAATATGAATATGAACCTACATATACGTGGTTGAGAGATACATAGACTCAAAGATATTCAACCTGATGCTGTGATACCAAGTTTTTCACATCCAGAATTACCCCCAAGACATATTTGGCATCGTCGTCCTCTTTGAGGACTATAACTAGCCTCTTAGCTTACATCATTACATTAATAGGTCAAATTTCGTGGAAATTTAACTTTTTACTACTTATATATATCAAGGTTTACAAAGAACTCTACATACACATAATATATATATCTATATACCTATATATCGAGTATACATAGACCCTTCGCATATGAAGATTACTTAGTCTTCTACTTTTATTGCACATAGATATATAGAATATAACATACTCTCAAAATAGTCGTCCTGTATCATATCCATCTAATACGAGTATATCAAATTAGGACTAGCCCATACACCACATATAGGTCATACAACATTTATTATCCAAATGAAAAGGAAAGAAAGATAAGAGTCTTGAACACTAAAGCAATATCATTGGCTTGATAGTGGCATCTCCCTCGAAAAGTGAGGACCTACCTTACTTGGATGATTAAGTAATCGAAGTCTTCTTCGAGTCTTCTTCAAAATCCCTTCAAGGACTGGACCTAAAATATTAGGGAAAAGGAAGAATGGGGTTAGTATACCACTTGTACTAAGTATGACACCATATGCACATATATCATGAAAACATGCGAAAGGAGGACATTTCATTAAGTATGCAATTTACTTTGAAAACCTTTATGCACATGCAACAAGAATATACACAATCAATAAGGGATTATCCTTAAGTTAAAGGCATGTACATCACAAGACCAACAATATCAAAACTAGTCAACTCAAATGCATATCATTTAAATTAATACATATTCAAGTAACTCTATCATCAAGTCATAAATAACAACAAACATGAATAAGAGTACATTTCATCATAACAAAAGTAAGACAATTACCCATGAACCCTTATCAAGTCAACAAGTGCAATGACCAAGCAAAGCCCCATTACCTTACTCAATCAAGTAACCCGACAAAAATGATCACCAACCTGCTACTTCATATAGCATAGAATTTAGGAGTAAATATCATCATACTTTAACAATGTAGAACAAAACATATTCATAACTGACACCAATAAACATATAGTATCAACAGTGTGCAAGTTCATCATATACATATCATGTACCATTATATGAATGTTCATACATAAGAACGTCCTCCTTAGGTTTCCGTCAAGGCAAACTATTGCAATGCATAGGTAGAGTTCCATACCCTTACCTAACCTAAGTCAACCTCTCAAGTCACCTTAGTTTGTTTGTACTTTATTACTTCATTTTAGTTTAGGGTACACTTTCCTTAACCGACATAGACCCCAAGAGCTAAGTGTGGTATCCGGTGTTGTAAAATGTTACACCGAAGGAAGGTGGTAAATAGTCCAAAGTAAAACTAAACATAGGCGTAGCTTTCTAGGTGGATCCAGTAGCTAGTCTTTCTATGGGGCAACATAGTTCAAGAACAAAAAGATAGGTATAATTCCTCTACATACAACTTGGCAAGTAAGACCTCCTCTCATAGGAATCCAATGGATGAGTATCCCTTATAGGGGAGTCAACACCTCATGTGGAACTATAGGGTGAATCTCCGTCTATGAGATGTCAACACCTCTCATTGTCAATTTCACTCAGTCCTAAGCTAAGTCCCTTTTTGAAATGTCTTTAATGTCTTTATTAATTATCATAACTTAATGTATGTGATAGGGTCTAACCCTTGTATAATAATAATCATCATATTCATAGCTCAATAAAAATTGCATGAATATAAACCTTTTATTACAATTCATATAAGTGAGGTTAGCACATTTACATATCACTTTATAATAAGGCTCATTAGCGAATCATTCACCATCGTTATAACATTTACATCTTAGCCAACACTTTACAAACCATAATTAAGAAATTTCAATTTAACATCATACCAAAACTATCAATCCTAATAAAAGGAACTCTAACAAAACATCATGCCTTAATCACAGCTCAACCATAATTGAAGTAAAGAATAGGGATCATATGACTTACCAAGTCTCATTCATAATTCATCAACAAGGTCTTACTTTAAACCCTTACTAAACCCAATTAGGTTATAATATAATCACTCATAAATAATAAACATGATAACCAAGTCATTTGAATCACTATATAACAATTCATCACTATTTCATAGCTTAAGATAAGACAATTAGGTCAATTCACAATATGCTTCATAACCTAGATCAACTTCTCAAGATCAAGCATGATATGAGTATAATACATACTAGTTTAGTCCTAATTTAAATAAGAACATCATCTTATTGTAGTTTAACCAATAACCAATTAAATTGAACCAATACAATAAAACGCATATCAAGATCACAACCTAGGGTTAAGGGGTAAAGGTCATCATCTACAAATTAGACCAATCCATCAAGATATAACATAATTAGGTCAATATACATGTTAATATATTCATAAAATACAAAATAAATCATAAATAAATCAATTCATAATCTAAATTTTTATATTGGTAAAGACCCACTTGAAAACCCTACTTTTGAAATCAATTTGACGGAAACCCTTTGAGGAAAGAGGTCTCAGAGGCGAAAGATATCTCATAAATTACTAATTAATGAAGATTGATTGTGAAACTTTAATCTTTGAATCCCTTAAACCCTGCCTTAGTTTGGTCTTCAATAAAGATCTTCACTAGAGAGAGAAAGAAGAGAGAAGAAAGAGAGTTTTGGATTTGAGAGTTACGAGAGTTTTAGTTAGTCTTAATGTGGTTAGGACTTTATATAGGGGTTTAAATGACTTAATTAAACCTCCCCTAACCCCTTATTATATTCCTAACTAAGCCAATTAATTATTTAAATTAAGTGAAATTGTGTAGAGAAAACAGGTCCTCAAAGACGACACCACGATCGACGAATCGTCAGTCAATCGAGGACCAGTACCTTGTTTCGGGAATCACATCCATAGGTATGTTCAGAGACTGTGAAAAAGAGTCCCTTCAAGAATTTGGCTAAGTGTTGGTCGACTAATGACATCAATGCTCAGGCAGTCTTTGGCCCCAAAATGCAAGAGTCCTCCTCAAGGGACTTTGGTTTTTCCTTGGGGTGTCGTGCCCAGACGTTTCGACTATGAACTAACTCTAATGCATGTTATACACCCTCACACCAATTTTCATCATTTTCTGACTTCTAAAAGCTAGTCATATAGGCTAAGGCACTCTAGTACCTCATTGAACTAGTTTCCGGATGTCATGGAAATTTTGGTTTCTAGACTTCCTAAATGACTTATATATATTAAAATGGACCTTAAAATAATATCTAAAACTTCTGAACCTTACATTAGGCTCTAGAACACGTCTTGGATTTTCGAAGTGTTACACTTATGTTGACCAGACTCATTCCCAGTCTTAGCTTTCTTGTTCTTGTACTCTTCTTTGTCGCTTGAATTCTCTTGTTCAACATGTTACGCATAGAACTTTAAACTTGAAACGTCCATGTGCCCAATCAACATTCATCCGTACCTTCTTAGCTTGAATCAAGACCACAGCCAACAACAAACAAGCTCATCCTTCTCTTCATATCCTTAACCATCTCGGGAGCAGGGCACAGAGAGACAGTTGAGTGAACTTCAACCCATATTCATGCACAATCAAGGAAACCTGTTTCAGAGTAAGGAACTCCCGTACCTTTGCTTTCTTTATTTGCCGGGAAAAGAAACACCCCAAGAATGCTTCTTTAAAGAAATCCCAACTCGGAGGTGGTATATCCTCATCTTTTCTCTCCTTCAACAAATCAAAATAAGTCCTAGACACATTCTTGAGTTTTTATGAAACTAACTCAACCCTTTAATGTCAACCAGATGCATCACCTCAAACACCTTTACCTTCTTCAACTCTTACACAAAGTTTTTTCGGATCCTCAATAGTTCTCAAACAGGTGAAGCTTTGGGGATTCATCCTAAAAATTCCCAAATCCTCGAGGTGTCAGCCATTTCTTGTCAATGTCCTCTGTCATGCCCCGAGCTACCCCCGAGACGCGGACACGGAACCTAGGACCACAAGTGATCCCAAGCTAACTGTGCTGGCATGATCATGAGCATACTAAAGATAATAAACTATTGTGGATGCTAAATCATACTTAAAAAAAAGATGGGGAATACCGATATTCTATAACTGAGATATTTGAAAACAATGAGTTTAATACAAAAGAAATATTAACTCAATACTAAGTTGAATCTAACTATGTCTGAAAATAGCCTCTAAACTAGATTAGAAATACTGGGACAAGCCCCAACTAAATCTAGAAAAAACTGAAACTAAATGACTAAAGACAGAAATGAAACTCATGATTGTTGTCATCGGAGAATGAGGACTCACCACTGAATCTGTTGAACTGGAGATCAGGAAATTGATCTATGTGTGATCTGGATGCTGAGAACCTTAACATACTTCACGAGAAGTTGAAGTGCACGTATGCGTCACTACTTGAAAGTGATGTGCTGATTTCTGAGCTAACTGGATGCAATGACCGATTTAAAACATGCTGAAGCTGAATACTGAATATACTGATAAATGGTCAATGCACAGAGTCTGATTGAATTGTGCGAGATACTAATAACCGATAATAAAACCATATGAGCTAAATGTGGAGTCCGATGTATACGCCCCATCGAGATGACTCAATATACCCTGCCAAAGGTATAAAGGCATACTGGTGTGATCACTAAACTGATTACCCACAGAGGGGACTTACAACCTACTCGGCTAGTAGTTCTAGGACTATTGGGTACGCTAAACCCTAGTCAAACTCGGTATTACGCTTCTCCCATTTAATTCTGTAAATTAACTAATTATATCTGAATTTCTGTAAATACTACATTGCTCAAAACCGAACATGCCATCTGAGAATACAATAATTAATCTGGTAATGATGCATTTATAACTGAGGCATGTATATCTAAAGTGTCTGAAATATATGACCTAGTATGTGTAATTCAAGAACTAAAGAAATACAAAGCTAGGGTTCTGAAATTCATCCGATAATCTAAGTAATTACGTGATAATCTGATTTAGAAAATATATTAAATAAATTCATGAAGTGATATCAAAGTTCTATACACCCTAGGTTTAATCATGATAAGAGAATCAAGAACTGACTGAAACTAAGGACCCAATGGGTGAAAGGAACCCACTAGTGAAATCCCGTATACAAGGTGATGAAATCCATGGAAAATACTTAAGTTTCGGGGCTGAAACTGCTGGAACTTTTGGCGTTCTTGAACTAGGGTTCTTGAGCTTTTTTATCCTCTCTTGTTTGTAATTTTCTAAGTTTTTATTTAATTATTTGACTTGGATATGTTTTAATTATGTTTCTAGGCTTAAACTGACTAAAATATGATGATTTAGGGTCAAAACAATGTAACTTAGGGTGTAAATGGAGTGGGAAAGGTCAAAAAGACCCCTGGGAATGTTGCTATTGGGCCTCACGACGGCCAGGACTGACGGTCTGTCATGTGCCCGACGCCACGTCGTTGGGTCCGTTGTGAGTGCCTGTTCTACATGCCTTTTC